TCGACCATACATTCCAGGCCTTTTCTTTTTTGGAAAAAAAAAAAAAAAAAAAAGTCGGGTGTCCCAGCCAAAGCTACCTAAAAAAGCCTTTTGCATAACATTGGGGTACTGCTGCTGTATTGAAGCCAAACTAAATGTTAGACATAAATCAACTATATACAGTATCCAAAATATGTAATGCCAGAATACTGCATTTTTTTTATTTTTGCTTTGGTAGATGTTTTCCTTGGCAGTGTCCAGTTCCCCTTGCCCATTTTGTGATGACAGCATGCCTATTAGTCTTCAAAATGGAAAGAATTTACCAGCAGGAATTGGCTCCATAGACTTCAATGGGATTTGCTGTTTAATTTGACCTTCTAATTTTCAGGCAGGATTCAGCAAACCAAACATGGGCAGATTCACTAACCTCTATCTATAAAACTGACCCGTATGTAGCAGGAGAGATGCATAAAAAAGTATCTGGATGTGTTTTACATGGATGATAAGTTATATCATGGGTAACCAATGGGATAATAGTTAACTAGAGTCTCTAGAACTGATCATCTCTAAATTACAGTTTTACCTCATTGTGGGTAATCTGTAAAGGGCAAAACCTAGGGTTCCAGTGATCAGTGAATATAGGGGATGATCTGGCAATTAGAATGTTTAAGTTTTATATATATACACGTCTGGTGATACCAAATCAAAGGAGGCCCAGTGGACCTCTCACAAGCTGGCTATAGAGTGGTGTGAGAATTGACAACATAATTAAAGAAGATATTTCATTAGCTGTAACAATTAGACCCAATTACTGATAATTGCTAGTATCAGAGCTAACAATCAAAAGTACATTCCAGCCACAATCTCTTCAGAATTCCACTGACTGCTGTGCACCTCTGTGAGGCCTCTTCTTCTGCCATCTTTAACCGCCTCCTTTTTACTGCTTTGGAAGCTGGCCAACTGCCCATATTGTGCACACGTAGAGGGTAAAAAATGCCTTCAGGCTTTTTTGATTAGCCTTCACGGAAGGTCAAGAGAAAAGCACTGTCTATCACCTGCACCAAGGCTGAAGGGCTGATGGGTGAAGAGAGAAGGTAAGTATATTCATTAAATTGATGACACATTTTACATTAGAATATGCAGTGTTTCTAAATGGGGGTTGGGATACACATTAGGAAGAGAAATTACATTTTGGGGAAAGTTATGCTTTAAAAGTAAATTTCTGATAAGGGTTACATGTAGGAATTATTATATGTATTAATTTTAACATGTTGTGGTGTATTAATAGAAAGAGACCTGACTCAGGTTCCTAAACTAATGTAAAAAAGCATTCTTCTGCAATGGAAGAGGCAGTATACTCACCTCTCCAGTGGCTTCTATCTCCTACCTTCCATCTTTTCCAGCGCTGCAGTCTCTGGAAGACTCTGTCATTTGACATTTCCAGGAGTGTTGAGTGCCCATGTCCCCCGCAGCCCTGTGAATCCATCCTCCAAACGCTATGTCCCTGTTGTATCCTGTAGTGATGTTGGGTTTAGAGGATTTAGAGCACAGGGCTGGGACACATGCGTCTGAAACTCCCACAAGTGTTGAATTCTGAAGAGTCTCACGAGGCTGCAGCATCAGTATACAGCCATGGTAAGAAACACGAGCCAACAGCATCGTGATTACACTACCTCTTCCATTGTAGGGCAATGTGATTTGCATTTGTTTAAAGACCTGAGAGGGATTTGATTATTAATATTTATATAGATTATATTAATAACATCTCAATGTGACAGTAAAAGTGGACATCCATAATGTTTAAATTATGTATGTAAGTTATTGTTCCTTTTTTGGTACAAGAAAATGTTTTTTGGCTTGTGATAGGTATTCAATACATCATTTAAAAATGTCAAAAAGATGTGTTGGATTTTCTGACCCTCATACTCTAAAGCTAAAAAAAAAGGCCTTTTTCCAAAGTTGAAAATAAATGTACAGTACTGTCAAGGACAACCCTACACTTTTTTTCTTTACAAAAGTGAATAGAAAAAAAAGAAAAAGATCTGTCTAATCAGACAATTGGTAGCAAAGCTTGATAGTTTGATAGACACTTCAACCAGCAAGTTAGATCAGGGGGGACTGATTGGGCAAATCAGAGCAGATTTTCAAACATTCACAAAGAATCTCTAAAAGCAATTTTTTGATAGTATCAATTTATGAGTAAGCTAATAAAGCCAGGTATGTGCAGTGGTTAACTTGTTGGAAGAATATCATAGGAATAAATCTTTTTAAGGATCTAAAGGCAGTGAATCATGTCCAGAAATAATAAAATGTCACATTAAATGATGAGCTGTTCAGTACCGGTTCACCAAAAGCCATTAAGGAAGTCAAAAACCTACTCATTTGAAGTAGACATTAAGGGGGTTATTCATGGCTTCCTCTGCCCAGTTGTTGTCATTCAATGATAGCTCAGCGTCCTCAGGTTATTTGAAGACACTGGGCTGTCATTAAATTACTGCAACTGAGCGGAGATGGCAATGACATCACGGTCGACCACGCCCATTTGTTTTGATTTGTCCAGGGTTTCCGGGCAGTACCCGAAACCCCATACACCTTTTAGGAGGCAACAACTTGCATATAAACCCTCTTAAAGGAGACAATCATTTCCGAAAGTTCGACCCCCATTGACTTGCATTGGGTTCGAGTTCGAATTAAAACTTTTCGGCCATTCGAATGTTTGAATACGAACCGAACACGGTGGTGTTCGGCCCATCACTAATTATAACAACTATGGCCCAACAGCATTTAGTCCAACATGACTATATTACCTAGTTGTTTTAAAATAAAACTGGATGTAGCAAGGTTATACTTAATGTATGTTTGGGTAATTTATTGGCTTTTCTGCATGTTTCTCCATTTTATTTTCCAACTGTTTTGCATGTATAAAATAATATTTTTTTCTTGATGTATGCACCTTTTTCTAAACAGAGAATACTTTACAAACAGCAAGCAAGTTCAGCTTAAAGTGACATTAAAGTTAATTTTTTTCCCTCCCCCCATGTTAATGTTAGCACTTACCTTAACCACTTCAAGACCAGGTGTTTAGACCCCCTTCCTGGCCAGGCCATTTTTCAGTGTTCAGCGCTGCAGTACTTTGACTGACGTTTATTCCGTCATGCAACGCTGTACTGAAATGAATTTTATACCATTTTTTAGGGACAGATAGAGCTTTATTTAAAAAAATGGCAGCTTTCCGCTCGCGCGCGCCGCTCAGGGGGCATGTCTGAGCGGACGTCTAAAGACGCCCGCTCAGATCTAGAGAGCTCCGGGCCGGCCATTTTTCTACTACGGCCGGCCCGGAGGCAGTTAAATGATGTCTCTTAATCCGATCTTCTTCTTCTTTCCTGATGTTTTCATCTGTCCCTCCAGCGGTGTGGCCGCTCTCCGATCCAGCGCTGACTCCTCTCTGCTTGCAGGCACTTCCGATCTGCATGCGGGTGCACGCATCCATAGACTTACCTTGCGTCTCTGCTCGTCTCCCGGCAGAGAAACCGAACTGCACATACGCCTGCCCCAAGAATCTTTGTGGCCGCACGTGCAGTCCCGGATTCTTGGCGTGGGAGCGCGCAGCGATAACGAGGTAAGTCTAAACCGCTGTTAAAGCAGGTTTTTAAAAAAAATTACTTTTTGCCTATATCTACTGTACTGCTAGTAGGCAAAAAATATGGAGGCTTTAGAACCCCTTTAATGTCTGAGAGAGTTCCACAACACAAGTTAAATCTTTGAGGTACAGATAATGGGTTATATAACACAGATTATAAATTATCCAGATGGAAAGCAGTTGCTTACAATAGTAAAGGCCTTCCTAGCTCACAGTTCGCCAATCACTATCATTCCACTTCACACTGACATCTGCTACCATCATGCACCACTGCCTTGGAGGTCTTTATAATGTCTGTCTGGTGCTTGTACGCCCTGTCACAAGTGTCTCATTGAGTAGCTTTATGAGCCTAAGGTTCCACCTGCCATTGGCCGGCCGACTTGCTTCCGCCCAGCCTGCTTCTGACAGCTGGGCGGAGCCAGCTGTTATGTTACGGCTGGCTCCGGCCACTTGCAGAGAGATCAATAGCAAACTAGCTATAGCACCCGCCCACTGCTGCAGTTCTCCATCAGGTCCCCACTAGTGATTGACAGCAGCAGAGGGCGGGTGCAATAGCTAGTTTGCTATTGCAAATTGAAATAGCCAATAGGAATCTAGCAATGCATTCCTACGGCGAAAATGTTTTTTTTTCTTTTTGTTGACGGCAGCAGAATCGCTGGCCATTAGAAAACAGTTGGGCGGAGCTAGCTGTCACTGCTAGTGACAATCGTTCTCTATTTTGTTTGTACTTTTTTAACTATTTTTCTGTTCTGCTCGGTCCCACAGAGGGAGCGAGCAGAACAGCCGAGCCGAATGCCGCTCAGCAGCATTCGGCTATTCACTCACTGCTGTTCGGCATCTATAAGAATAGACCGAACAGCAGCGAGTAGCCTGCCGGAGGTTCGGCTTAGCCGATCCAGATGTTGGATCGGCTGAGTCGAACTCCTTCTGCACTTCGGGTCGACCCGAAGCCACGCGAAGCCACCCGATGTACGGCTGATTTCAGCCGATACACGGCTGAAATCAGCCGCACCAGCCTGAAGTGAATAGCCGAACAGCGTTCAGCTCACTTCGCTTCAGGTCGGTCATCCACTCGGCTGCCTATGGCAGCTTAGTGAATAGACCCCTGTGTGTCATGGAGGTGTATCAGATTGTAGGACAGGCAAGTATACAGTACATACCAATGCAGCCTGACCTGTCCTCTTATATCCTTTTTTATTATTTTCTAAAATTTATATTTTTATTATTTTGGTTTAAATAAAGCTGCATTGGGGCGTGGCCTGGTGACTCATGTGAGCTCCGGCACGAGATCCTGATAATATCCTCAACATCTTCACTAATGCTGTATAATTGACACCTACGTACCTTCCTTGTACATACCGGACCCCTCGGGACGGACAGGTACCGCTCGGTCATTCTCCGTTTTCTCGGGATGACGAGAACCAACGATGCGGCCCTCACTGGAGGTATGGACCTGCAAGATGGTCGCGGCTCGCGTGCGCCAGCCCAGACTCCTCGTAAACAACAGAGGGACCGCTCCAGGGATGTCACCTCGAGGCTCGAGCAGTTTGCAAGGGGGACATCGAGAGGACCATGCCGCAAATTGCGAGTGACAGATGCGGGAGGCAGTACCCCGCTGGCATCTCGCTCAGCTACTGGCACCGATGGCTCAGATCCTGAAGATGGCGCGGTGAGTGACACATGTGCTCCCCCCTCTACCAAGAAAAAAAAAATAAGCCCCGGAGGTCTTCCCCGCAGCCCACGCTCAAAGATGTTTTCTCGGCCATACAACGCTGCAACTCATCCATATCCTCCCTGACCGACCAAGTACATGGGATGCGGGCGGATATATAATTCCTATGGCATGACCTCCAAAAGGTCCGAGACAGAACCACAGTCTTGGAGGGTCGGCTTGGTGACCTTGAGGATGCTAATGCCCCCATTCAGGCAGACCTCAAATCCGCACTTCAAAGATCCGCAGAGAACTCCCTTAAAACTGAGGATATTGAAAATAGACTGAGATGCAACAATATAAGAGCTGTTGGGATCCCTGAGAGGGTGTAAGGCCCCAACCCCACGTTATTTGCTGAAAAATGGCTGATTGAAACCTTTGGTAAAGAGTCTTTCTCCCCAATGTTTATGGTAGAGCGGGCGCAAAGGGTTCCAACTAGACCTCTCCCACCTGGGGGTCCGCCACGCCCTATGCTGTTTCGCCTCTTGAATTTTCGGGATAAAGAAGTCATCCTCCGTAAGGCTCGTGAGATGGGAGAAATTTCCATGGAGGGATCCAAACTCATGCTTTTCCCGGATTTTTCCCAAGAGGTCCAGAAAAAGAGGGCTAAATTTCTCGAGGTAAACCGACGACTTCGCCAACTCAAGCACCAATACTCCATGCTCTACCCCGCTAAACTTCGGGTCGCCGCGGATGGTGAAACTGTCTTCTTCGATTCCCCTATCTCTGCCTCTACCTGGATGGATAAGATGTCCCGCAAACATGGAGACCCTTAACATGTTGTTATTTGCTTCCGCAATTGGCGGATAATTCCACTCTACAACCCCAAGGTCCCATCTCTTTTTTTGGAAGATGTTTACCTACTTACCATATCTTGTGTGCCGGAACCTTCGAGGATGGCCGCCCGCACTACTGTAGACTCCAATGTCTCCAGCCCCTTCCACGCGGCCTTTTTTTCTGTTTTTCTTTTGCGTGGAAAACGTCATACTGTTTTTCTTTGATTTTTGGATCAAGCCGGCTTTTTGTTGCCGTGGTTGGCCCGTGGAATGTTGTTACGCCTTTAATTTTTACAGGTGTGTTTTTGTCTGTTGGTTTTTATGTTTTGTTCTTGTCACGGTCCTGGATAGCCTCACAGAGATACCTTCGGATTGGCCCTTTCCTCCTGCTGTTCAGCGGGGTACGGTCCCACCCTGCACAAGTTTTCAATACCAAACATGCCATGACACCTGCGATGTTGGCCCGTAAGTTATCGGTTCTTTCCTGGAATGTTCGTGGTTTGGGGGACAAGACCAAGAGGACTGCTGTCTACACTTCCATTCGCTCTCACAGACCATCTATAATATGTCTACAAGAGACTCATGCTACCCCTGACTCGCTCCCTCTGCTCAAACTGAGGGGTTTCTCTTGTGCTTATCATTCCCACTTCTCCTCCTATGCCAGGGGAGTATCCATTTGGATAAATGACTTTGTACAATTTGATTGTATGCAAACTAAAATTGATACGGGAGGGAGGTTTGTTTTACTATACTGCACCCTGTTTGATGTTGAATGTGTTCTTGCCAATATGTACATACCACCCCCATATTCCAGTGAAGCATTTCGGGACTTGGCAGCCTTTATTTCGGACAAATTGCCCTTACCTATCCTAATAGTGGGAGACTTCAATAATGTTATGTCTGCTACGGTGGACAGGGTGTCACCAGCTTCTCCTGGCCTCCCCCCCACTACCTCAGGCTTAAGCCATTTCTGCGCAGAATTGGGGTTGCAGGATGCATGGAAACTCCTCCACCCCACCACATCCCAATATACATGCTTTTCTGTCTCCCATCACTCTCTCTCCCGTATTGACCTCTCCCCCTTCTAGAGTCAGTGGACATTTTGCCACGGTCATTATCGGATCATGCTCCGGTTCTGACAGTGTTCAGGGGGGGCTTGTCCCCTCCGTCCTTACCCTGGAAGCTTAATCCCTTTTGGTTGACACTGTTCCCTCCTGATGGTTCCCTGGAATCCGACCTGTCATCCTTTCTCACAATTAACGAGGGCTCTGCTTCACCTGGTGTAGTTTGGCACGCACTTAAAGCATATTTGCGGGGGATCCTAATTAGACAGATAGCCATGGTTAAATTACATACTCAGGAGGCGGAGGCCCAAACTGAAGTCTCGACCTCTGAAGTTTTATGTGTTACTGCCCCGGGAGAATCTTCTGCCGCTCGCCTTAGGGTAGCACAGGATTCTCTTAAGGCCTTGCTTCTCCAACAAGCTAAAAATAAACTCTTTTTTCTAAAACAAATGAGATGGGAGGAGGGGGAGTCTGCTGGCAGGCTCTTGGCGCAACTGGCTAGTTCCCAGAGGGAACGGAACTTTATCACTGCCCTGAGTGATCCTGGGGGCCAGTTGTGCTCATGGCCTGAACAGATTCTATCCATATTTACTGAATTTTATCGTACTGTATATACCCACACCCATAGATACTCCCACTCCGAACTCTCTGGCTATATGTCTGATCTCCAGCTTCCATTACTCTCGCAGACGGACCAGAACACTTTAGAGGCCCCCATCTCTCTATCGGAACTGGAAGTGGCAGTCTCCAGCTTCCCTAATGGTAAAGCGCCTGGTCTGGACGGTATTGCCATAGAGATTTATAAGAAGTATGGTTCAGTATTGTTGCCAGCATTGTTGGACATCTATAATGATGCATTTCAATCGGGTCAGCTGCCCCAATCTCAGTATGACGCGGCGGTGGTCCTTATCCCAAAAAAAGGGAAGGACCCCCGGCTTCCGGAGTCCTATAGACCAATTTCCCTACTCGGAGTTGATGTATAAATTTTGGCCAAGGTGTTAGCTCTTAGACTATCCAAGGTCATCACCTCAATTGTACACCCAGACCAAACCGGCTTCATGCCTAATAAATCCACCGCGATAAATATTCGTAGGGTCTTCCTAAATTTGCAGGCTCCTGTTGACATGCAGGGCGGCAGGGCGCTCCTCTCTCTTGACATAACACGAATTAAACTAGAAACCCTACAATACAATACCCAAAGGACCAAGGGGGTATGTCTCTCCCCAACCCATGGCTCTACTACATTGCCTCTCAAATTCAACATCTGAGTGGATGGGGCCAGACCTCTGACCCTCCTCCTCCCCCCAATGCTCAACTTTTGTGTACAATGTACAGGAGTGTACCCCCGGTCTCTTTGCTGGAGACTCCACGTCTGGCGCGGTCACCTTATGTAACACCAAGGATGATTGCCAGGACTTGGCAAAGACACTATTGGGAATGTCGCAATTCACGGTGTACACCCCACTTTGGCAAAATAGCGCCCTCCCGGAAGTGTTTAAACTCAGAGGTTTTGAGGCTTGGCGTCAGAGGGGTATTCACAAGCTCGCAGATGTATACTACTCTGGCTCTCTTAAAAGCTTTCCACAGCTGCAATCGCAATATCAGTTACAAATGTCCCACTTGTATCAGTAGCTACAACTGAGACATGCCTTGTCCACCCATCCAGGAATCAAGGAGGTTCAGATCTCTCCCCTTCAATCGCTGAGTTCAGTGATACTCTCCACTAATACGAAAGGACTGATTTCTGAGATATATGCAATTCTCCTCCCGCGCTTTTTGGTAAAGTATCCGCTCTCAAGCAGGGGGAGATGGCAAGAGGAACTGGGCTCCATCTCGGAAGAGGACTGGGAGACGGCCCTACAGGGTGTTGGGCTCTCATCCTTGTCATCGTCACATAGGTGGACTCAAATATCTATCCTACATAGAACATATAGAACTCCGGAATTTCTGTTTAAAATAGGGCTGCGGACCGATGCCAAGTGCCCTAAATGTGGCATGGCACCGGGCTCTCTTATACACCTGCTGTGGCGCTGCCCCAAACTGGTCAGATATTGGAGTGGGGTCACTGCAGTCATTAGTTCAATCTTCGCGGTCCAGGTCTCTTGCTCTCCGTACACATGCTTGCTCGGTATCCTGGATTCTGACCTGTGGGACGATGTCACTCTGACTGCTGTATCCAGTGCCCTGTTTGCAGCACGTAGGGTGATTGCGCTTCACTGGATCTCCTCAACGGTCCCCACGGTAAGCATGTGGATAAAGGAGCTTGACCACTTGATAGCATTCGAAAGAGTGATATTCCAACATAGAGATAATGAGGGTGATTTACTAACCTAAACACACACATGCACCAGGTGCGTGTGATTTTCACACAGCAAAACGTATTTATCAACCAAAAAGTCTCTAAAAGCATATGAGTTTGGTGAGGGATACGTGTTATCCTTATGGTAGGTACTTGGTATCCTATCTCCCCATGCAGGTGTAGCCATATACTGAAGGAACTTGGTAGAGTCGTTTTGAGATGGCTTAAAGGGTTAACGATCTTTGACGTGGTTGTGCAAACGTGTGGGCTGCCCTGATGTAGCAACATGTCACTGTATTGTAATGTCTCTGTAAAACTTTAATAAAAATTACTTGAATAAAAATAAAGCTGCATTGCTGAGCAAAGAGGTCTGATTGCTGACCTTTCTATTTGGCTTGTTTCAATTGTGTCTTTGACCAATGTAGTATTCTGGAGCTAAAGATAAGTATTGAGTGGCCAAGTACAGTAGATATAGATATAGTTGAGGACCCGAACATTCTAGCACCAGATAACCAGCGCAACCGTAGAATGTTTAATCACATTCA